GAGCCTCGACAGTTTTGCAAACTCCTCTCCCCTTCCCCCCCACGTGTCCTCAAAGAGCACAGATCGGTGGTTTTGAAAGTTACTGCTCAGGATGTGGGAAGGGATAGAGTGAGGCAGGCTGTTTGTCAGCTGAGCCTGCTCCCTGCACCACCTCCTGTGTGCCAGCACTGGGGCTGAGCCACTCACCAGGGATGGGCAAGGCACAGCCCCATTCTCTGTGTGGCCTTGGGGACACCTGGGGTCCTTCCTCAATCCAGGCCAATGCCATCGGGCTGGATGAGCCCCTTTCCAGAGAGCTGGGGATGGTGTCAGAGGCCAGCCTGGAAGCACCCTCTGCCCCAGGGCACAGCCTGGCTGCCAGTTTCACCCCAGCAGGGACATGCTGCTCCTCCTTACCTTTTTTTAGCATTTCTGTAGTGGGGGCAAGGCAGGAACAGAAAAATCCTCTGAGGCAGAAGCAAATTCCTCCCTTCCTCAACTCATTTTCAGCAGTGACATCCCCAGTGTGGATCAGGCCTCTGGGGACATGGCAGGAAGGCAGCCCCTCCACCTGGCACCAGGGCCTCCCACAATCCCACCGTCCCTCCTGCTCTTTGCTTTGTGGTGGGAGAAGGTGGGCACGGCCAGCCCACACCTGGAGTGACAGGCAGGGATCCACCCTGGGGGTTTTGCATGGATTTTTTCTCAGGTATTTGGTTGTTAATTGCTGCCCTGAGATGTGCAGGATGTCTCTGTTTCAGCCCGGGCGTCTGAAGAACAAGTCAGAAGTCTTCAGTTTTTGGTCTGGAAGTAGTTAATTAATTCTTATCTATAAAGTTTTCTTTCTGCTCAGCAGGGCAGCCACAGGCACTCTGTGTTGTCCTTTTATACTACAAACTACGTGTAACATATTTACACTTAATTCCCAATACCCATCACCTGTGTTAGACAGTGCACTTCTACTCTAAACCAATCCCAAAGTGCCAACAGCACTGCAGAAAATGGAGAACAAGAAGAAGAAGGAGAAAGGCTGGACACGCCCAAGTCCCTCCATCTTGTCTCCATAATCCCCATACCAAAAATCCTAAAATCTACATTTTCACTTTGTGATAATTTTATTATTATGCTATTTAAACCTGTGTGACTTTCATGTCCTCATACAAAGCTGGTAACTTGCTCCAGGGGTCAACATCAAACCCACAGATGTTTTGGGCTGTGTGCCAGGGTCTCTGAGTCCCTGCGGGGGTCCTTGACAACTCTGGACACCTGGAGGGATGCACTGAGCTCTGATAGTTTTTATTCTCCTGCAGGAGCACACCAGATGCCACCAGTAACTTTTGCTTGTGGTGGTGTCACAGGTGGCTGCTGGTGCTGTGTGCTGGCACTGTGGGCCAGCAGCTCCTGTAGGAGCCCTTGCTTGGAAATGCTTCCAACTCCCCCACCTCACCCTGGCTCCTGCCACCACCATCAGTGACCTCCCCACCCCACAGCCCAAGAACCAGCAGGCCAGCCTGCCTCAGTTTCCCCTCCCAGCCGGGTCAGCCCTGCAGGGAGGCACCCAGGGAACACCCACATGGGACACTCCATCTGTCTGGGGCTCCTTCATGCTTTTTCAGGAGAGGCCAGAGCAGCTGAGAGCTATTCCTGGAAAGCCTAAAAATGCCACAGCTGAGTCAGCACCGAGGCTCTGCCTGCACCAGGCCATGGAGGGCTCCCCCAGACAGCCCTGCAGGGCTGAGCTGTGCCAGGACACTGCTGCCAGCACCCCTCAGAGGAGGCAGACAGACAGACAGACAGCCCCCAGACAGCCCTGCAGGGCTGAGCTGTGCCAGGACACTGCTGCCAGCACCCCTCAGAGGAGGCAGACAGACAGACAGACAGACAGGCAGACACAGAGGCAGGGAGGTGGAGGAGCAGCCCAGACACGCATCAATGTCACAGGGAGGGCTGTGACAGCAGACAGCTCTCTCTCTCTGTCCCTGTGCTGCAGGCTGGAGCAGTGCCAGCCCCCAGGGCTTTTGTTCCACATCCCTGCAAGCCAGCACAGCACATGCCAGGGTCAGCTTCAAAGCCATCTCTGCTGGGGGACTCGGGTCTAAAGGCAGCATTGACACTGTCCCATCTCCATCCCACTGCTCCCCTCCACCCTCCCAGGGCCCAGCTGTCCTGTCTGGGTGCAGACATGGGACAAAGCTGCAAGTCCAGGGCAGTAATTCCTGAGCATGAAGGGCAAATCCCCCATGGCTGCAATCCCACACACAGGGACTGCCCACCCTCTCCCCCTCTGCTGGGAATCAGGCTGAGAGCTCCCAGCAGCTGGGTGCACACAACGTTTTGGACACAAAAAGCTGAAGAGCACAGTCAGTGACTGTGAGTACCCAGCACACTGCTCCAGACCAGCTGCTGATACCTGGGCTGGGCTTTCCTCATAATGTCACTGCAGCTCTGCAAGGCAGGACAGGAACAGCACCACAACACCTCCGTTTCCAATCCCACAACTCCACAGGGACAGAATTTCCCTTCAATTCGCTACACCTAAGGTAAATCACGCACTGCTGTTTCTTGCCTCACTGCCTGCAGCTGTGGCAGCTCTGGGGACATCAGCTGCCCCTTCAGTGCCACTCACAGCCCAGGCTCTGGGAGCAGCTCCAGGGCAGAGCCAGCAGCCCAGCCCTGCTGCCAGCCCCAGGCTCTGCTCAAGGCTGGCACAGCCTGTGATACCAGTGGGTGACAGAGAGGTGTACAAGAGTCTGGGTCCCAGAAAACCAACAGCCAAAAGAACAGGGTTTCCCACAAACACTCCAAAAACTGGGACTACCAAATTTTGGCCAAATTTGGATGTCAGGCCTTCAAAGGGCACGCTTCAGCACATGGGTTTTCTTCCCATCCTTCCCAGTTCACTCCAGTCCTAGTTATCAAGGGAACAGCTCCCAAGGGCAGCCTCACAAGAACTGACTGCCAAAGCAGCTATCAAAGTTTTCCAGAGGCTGCAAGCCCCACAAACAGCACACCCACCTCTTCCCTCTCCACCTTCCCTGCCCAGCTTGCCCAGCACACAGATCTGACCACAAGATCACAGCTCTCCCTTGAATCATTAAATATTAGAAACAAAAGTTGGAAGGAGCAGTTTGCAGTGCAGTTGCAGGTTTAAACCTGTCCACAAGTCCACACTCAGTTGCAGCCTTCAACTCCCAACTCATCTAAGCCTGCCACAGACTTTTATGAAAAATCCTTTCCTTGGGATTTTTCCTCCTGAGAAGCTGAAAGGCCTCAGGAACAAAATGCAAACAATGGTTATCTGCTGCTGTGGAATGCAACAGGTGCATCTGGGATTGGTCTCATGTGGTTGTTTCTAATTAATGGCCAATCACTGTCAGCTGGCTCAGACAGAGAATCCAAGCCACAAACCTTTCTTATAATTTCCTTCTAATTCTATTCTTAGCTAGCCTTCTGATGAAATCCTTTCTTCTATTCTTTTAGTATAGTTTAAATATTATATATATCATAAAATAATGAATCAGCCTTCTGAAACATGGAGTCAGATCCTCGACTCTTCCCTCATCCTGGGACCCCTGCAAACACCACCCCATGAGCCCAATGGTCTGCAGCACCTTACAGATCCCCTGTGACTGTGTCCCCACCCTGACACCACAGCTGGGCTCTCTGTGCTCAGCACACCCAGAATCAGACAGGAGTGGTTCCCATTGCCCTCCCAGGCAGTTTATCTCTGACTGCAGCCCCCAGGCTGAGAGCCAAGAGCCAGCCAGCCAACTGTCTCCCCTGGCAGGGACCTGAGAGCCAGCAGCCCTCTCACCAGTTGCTGCAAGAATGAGCTCAGACTCCCCTCGATGCTGAAAGCTCTGCTTGGGAAATTGCTGAGCTAGCAGCAACTGCCATTTCAGTTTTACCCATTTCCTGTTACTTGACAAAACAGTATCAGAGGGCTGAGCTCCTGCTACCCTGGGCTTCTGCATGTTCCTGCTACAGCAACTGCCTTCAGCAGGTGAATACTGGCACATCTTGATTTCAACAGCATGAATTATTTGTGGTAAGGCTGACCTATTTATCAGCAGAAAGACAGCATTCATTCAGGCCCAGATCCCCCAGAGGCTCTGGTGTCACTTTACCCACAGGACAATACAACTCCATCACTATCTCTGTCCATCTCACTGGGAGCAGGGGTAACTGCCCTGGGCTGATCCTGCCACGCTCCCAGAGCTTCTCCTGGAGCAATAGTGACACATCCACACCCCCTTTCACAGCAAACCACTGGCTTCTGCTGACCAGCTTTGATCAGTGCTTTGTGAGCACCATAAACACACGTGGGAAGCAGAGCAGGGCGAATGTCACAGACATCTTTTATGAAAAATCTTTTTTTTTTTTATTTTTCCTCCTGAGAAGCTGAGAAGCCTCAAGAACAAAATGTAAACATTGATTATCTGCTGCTGTGGAATGCAACAGGTGCATCTGGGATTGGTCTCATGTGGTTGTTTCTAATTAATGGCCAATCACAGTCAGCTGGCTCAGACAGAGAGTCCGAAGCACAAACCTTTGTTATCATTCCTTCCTACTCTATTCTTAGCCAGCCTTCTGATGAAATCCTTTCTTCTATTCTTTTACGACAGTTTTAATGTAATATATATAATAAATCAAGCCTTCTGAAACATGGAGTCAGATCCTCATCTCTTCCCTCAACCTGAGACCCCTGTGAACACGGTCACAGGTGAATTCACAGAGAATTGAGACAGGGAGCAGTCCCTGTGACAGCTCTGCTTCAGGCAGACCAGGCCAGAGGATGCCAGCAGTGTTTGCAGGGTGGCTGCCAAGTTCTGCTCAGGATCCTTCCCTGCACAGCTCCTGCTAAGCTCTTGTAGTGTCTAATCCTGGCTCCCATGCTCTGTGCACAGGCCAAGGCAGCCTGTGAGGGGTATTTCACATTGAAGGGATGCTGAAATCTTTGTGAAACGTTTCTGTAAATCTTCTCTGAACACAGATTTGCACCAAGCCTTAGGGGACCATACCTTTGTCTGCCAGGGACAGCGTGCTGTTGAAGTACTGCTCCTCCACAGTCCATGCTGTGTCATTGATCTTGTTGGACACCCCACAGGATCCAATGCAGCTCACCTTGATGGCTGTGGAGAGACGGGACACATGTCAGCACTGGGAGAAAGCAAAAGCTCAGGTTCAGACCTGCCTCAGGTACTGCACTGTGCAGGAGCAGTGCTCATGAAAACACACACAGGGTGGGAAATTGGAGCAGAGGAATCAGGTCATGCTTTCATTCCAAAAGTGGGTTTTCCAGCATTCCCAGCACAACTGAGCACTCCCTGCTACCCCAGTGCTATTTCTAGGTACTACCACCTTTGAAACCCTCAAGCTGGTTTCCTTGCATTGAGGAAGCCCTCACCAGCAGTGACTGCAGCTCCCTGACGGGCAAACCTCTCTCCCAAAGAAGCAGTGTTCCCTCCCAAAACATGCACCAGCCTTGGCACTCTGGCTGAGAGCACAAGCCTTGGGTGTTACTGTCCAGAGAGGGATGAGCAGCCAAGGACTCTGCTGCTGCTCCCACCCCACGAGGAGCCTGGCATCCCATTGAGGGTCTCACCATCCCTGGGAGGAGGGAGCCTGGCATCCCATTGAGGGGCTCACCATCCCTGGGAGGAGGGAGCCAGGCATCCCATTGAGGGGCTCACCATCCCTGGGAGGAGAGACACGTTTGGCACAAGCCCATTCAGCAGCTGAACAAGGGCTTCAAACAGCCCTGTCTGAAGCAGCAGCAGAGAGCTGAACCCCCCAGCGCAGCCTGGACAAGTTCTGCTGCTTGAATTCACAGCCCTGTCACCCTCAGAGGACATTCCCAACCCCTGGGAGCCTGCTCATGGGCTCAGCTTTAATGTGTTGCAGCAAAAATACTTTGCCATTAACACTTGTCCTGCATCAGGACCTCCAAATGTCCATGCACACATCACTTCCCAGGCAGCCAGCAGCTCTAAGGAGTGGCTTCCTCCTTTGTTAGAGACAGAACTCAGCAAAGCCACACAGCAAGGTCTGGAAGCACCAGAGGTGCCATCTGACTCTCCCAAAAGCAAGGACAGTCATTTGAGCTATGTTTGTGCCTTGCCTGGATAAAGTCACCCCAAGAGCTCAGCCTGCAGCTCTCAGAGGAGCTCCCCACAGACACCTTCAGTTAGTCTTGGCCAATACTCAGCAGGTTGAAATTAGATTCTGATGTCGACACTGGACCACAGAGACAGAAAAACACAACAGACTGGCCTTGCTGCACAGCAAGAGATGATCTGCACTGCTGCCCCCACACAGGGAGAACACAGGCAGACCCATCATGGCACAAACAGAGCCCTCAGGGCTGTCCCAGCCTCAACACCTCCCACCTGAATCCCATCAGGTTTTGCAAGAGCTGGAGCCCACAGAAGTCCCTTACCCCAGTGGCCAGGTGAATAGTTCTGCTGGCAGAAAGGTGACAGGATCCACCCACACAGACTCTCTGCCTGTTTGACCCATCAGCTCCCCTGTGCTCCAGCTGCATCCAGAGGAATCATCTCCCTGGGAGGCAGGTGGCCAGTTTGTGTGGCTTAGGAGCTCTCCCCTCTCCTCCTCAAATGTCCTCAGCCCTGTTGATATCAACACCTCCACCCACCAACCCAAACACTGAGGGCTGGATGTTATTGCTGCTTGCAAGCACCTCAAAAGGCTCTCCAGAGCACCTGCCTGGCCAAAGTGACGGACCCAGGACAGGGTGAGAAGACCCCAAATCCAGCCCTCCCTGCAGGGGCAGCGCAGAGCTCTTACCCCAGTCACAGCCAGGGGGTCATGAGCTCCTCAGGGCTCAAAGTCTGTAACCCCACAAGGAAGAACAGATCTCCTGCCACCCCCTCAGATCTCCTGCCATGCCCCCACAGCAGATCATAGCTGAGATGAAGAGCCCCTTGCAGTCCAAGTGTTGTTCTACACTCAAGGACAAAGGATAAGCAGCTCCAGATGCCAACTCTCATCATCCAAACATCAATACAGCAGCGAGGCTGACACACCACTGCCTTGTGTCTGTGATGTGCTTCAGCATTTGCAAGGCAGGCAAAGATCAGGATGGCATGGCCTGGGATGGGAACTCCCCCAGCACAGCCCAGAGCACACCTGAGCTGATACAGGTGCCCTCCTGAGGTGAACCATCACAATGAGCCCTCCCCACATCCCCAGGTGACATCCAATCCTCTCTTTTGCCAGGTGGCAGAGCCAAAGCCACAGAGGGGCCTCAGCATCAGGAGCAGGAAAGGTTTCAGCAGGGTGGTGTCCTGTGTATCTAAACATTGGTGCCAAGCTCAGACATACTGCCACATCTCTGGGCTCACAACAAGCCTGTCCCACTCTGAATTAGCCCACAGAACACAGATGGATCCAGTCAAACCAAGCCCAGACTCACCCACTCCATTCCCTCATTTTCACACAGGAGATGTGAGCAAGAAAAGCCCAACCAGAAAGTGGAGAATGTTCACATCCTCCAGGAGCAACAGCCCCTGAGCAGGCTCCCCCTCAGCCTCCCTGCACAGCAGGAGTTTATAGATCAGCACCATCTGTTCAATGCCCAGATAAGGGGCCCACAGGCTCTGATTGCAGCCTGATCCTGCACTGTGGTGAGGAGGCTCTGCTGCTCCAGGGAGGCAGGTGGGACGGGATGCTCAGGAACACAGCCTGTGCCACAGCTCCCTTCCCACAGCACACAGGCTCAGCAGGCAGGGGCAGTGGGTTTGCAGTCTGACACCCAGACCAGCCCTGGCTGGGGCCCTGCTGCCATGGTCAAGCACCAGGGCTGAAGTCAGACCATGTCCAAAAATCCCTCTACAGCTTGCTGAGGGGTTTTCCAGCACAGGGACTGTCAGCTCCAAGGCTTCCCCATTAACCACTGACATCCCAAACTGCATGGTCACAGCCAGCCTAGAGGGGAGGGACAGTCCCAGAGGGATTGCTCTGGGGCTCTGAGGGGTTCCAGTCCCTCAGCCCCACCAAACCCTCTCCAGCCACATTCCCTGACCATCACTCACCCTGGGGTTGCCATTCCAACCCCAAGCAACAGAAAGCAGCATTTCAGGCTGAAAAGTTTGAAGGAATTTCACTCTCCCCTTCCCTCTACACCCCCAAAGTCCCCAGTGTCCCCTCACCAGGCACACCAAGTCAAGTGGGACAAGCCTTGGAGCAGCTCAGGGGGCAGAGATTTGTTACACAGCATCTTCTCCAACCTGCTCCAGACACACGAGCTCCCCCACACCTCACTGGGGAAAAATGGGGTGGACAATAGCTCTGAGCTATTGCCCCACAGCTGACAGTGTGGCTGGACACAGGGATTGCACAACCCACCTCATCCCCCAGGAGGAGCCAGCAGATCCCCAAGCCCCTGCAGGGTGGGTGATGCTGTCCAGGACAGCCACAGAGGCCCCCCAGTTTCATGCAGAGCAGGAAATACTGGAAGACACAGGGCCAGGTTATCTGGGAGGTTTCAGAGGTGCCTGGTGCAACAGATCAAACCATTTATCTCACTCCTAACCAGGTTTTGGAGCAGTGGACCATAAATCAGCCTCTCCATGAGCATCCCATGGGCAGAGGGAGATACTGGGGACTTGCCTGGCTCTCTCTTGTACAGGCTCCTGCCCACAAGCAGGAGGAGGGACAGGGATGTGTGACAAGCACAGCTCAGGCACGTGGCTCTGGGGGCAGCTGGAACCCAAAAATGGCACTGTCAGGATGGACCTGGCAAAGCCAGCACCATCACAGCTGCTGCAATGGAGCCACCTGAGCATGGAGCTTGTCAGGCTGCCTGTCAGGAAGCAAAATGCACAGTCTGAGCCTTTCCAAGGAAATCTTGCAAGTGCCAAGCTGCAGACAGAGGAAATGAGAATAGTTTCTGCATCAGAATAGGCCAGTTCCAGTTATTAGAGACTCATTAAAAATGCCTCTGGAATCCAGGGCTACCAGTGGCCCCAGTCACCTCCCTCCTGCTCCCTGTTTACCCAGGCTGATTTGAATAAGTACAGGAAAACAACAAAGTCCAAAAACTGTGAGAGGAGGGGAAGGGGGAGGCAAAGAGAAGAAATGAATGATGAAGCCATGCAGAAGGCAAGAGCCCTTCACCCCAGAGCCCCTGAGGGACTGAGGGAAGCGGGCAGCTCCACATCCAGCCAGACACATCTTTAGCAACGCGCTGCAGCACGCGCCAAGCGCTGGAAATAAAAGGAGACAGCTCAGCCATATCCATCTCTGCACAAAGTAAAAATAGAGATGCCAGGAGCTGGGCATGTCTGCCTCCTTCCAAGGTGATTTAAGGAGAGCAGGCATAGATTTCAAACTGCTTTTTCTCCTCACCCAGTGAGTTGCCCTCCTCGGGGGAGCTGGTGTGGCACCTCGAGCATGAGGAAAGGACAGCACACACATCCCCTCCTCTGCCAGGGGCATGGGGTGTGTGCACATCCCCCTTCCAAAATCCAGCCATGACTGAGCCAGCAGAGGCTCAGTGGTCACCCTGCACTCAGCCCCAGTCCCAAGTGAACTTTCAAGTCCCACCTGTGTCACACACCTGCTACAACAGGTATGGGCAGAGGGGGAGGGAAGAGGCTGCTGCATCTTGGTCAGCTTGGATTTTCTAGGCTGGGCAGGGGAAGCAGCAAAACCAGTTTGTAGAATCATTAAATATCCTGAGCTGGGAGGGACGCACCGGGATCCCCCAGCCCAGCCCCTGTCCCTGCCCAGCCCCCCCAGCAGCCCCAGCCTGGGCACCCCTGGCAGCTCCTGGAGCTCTGGCAGCCTCGGGGCCGTGCCCATTCCCTGGGCAGCCTGGGCAGTACCAGCACCCTCTGGGGGAAGAACCTTGCCCTGATCTGCCCTGCCCCTGACACAACCTGACACAGCTGGAGGTGGCTGTTGCAGATGGCAGCAACTCAGGCAGGACAAACAGACCCTCCTGTCATTCCCTTTCCTCTGCAAGGACGGATGAAGAGCTGGCAACTGAGCTCTGAAATGGCACTGAAATGGCATTTACACACAGCCTGGGATGTTGCCAGCTCACCCGGGTCACCACGAGGTCTCAGCCATGTCTGCTGCACCCAGAGGCTCCAGCTGTCCCTGCTGCAGGGAAGGAGGGGCCCAGCCCTGCACACGTGGGATGAGATGGATGGCAGAGCCACAGTGCCTGCAGTGACCCCAC